CACCGTCAGGAGGCGTAGAACCGACAAAAAAAAAAAAAAAAAAATACAGAGTAAATCCATCCATTTGTAAAAGAATCCTTATGTAGTATGACTAAATAACCACAGGTTTCCTACTTTTTAAATTACTTTTTTCACAGTAAGTGGCATCAAAATGTCTCCCTGAAAAACCAAGATGAAAACTCAGACCTATCTGATAAATATACAGATTAGAAATTAACATGGGATCTGAATAAGTTATTCATAAAATAGTTGTTAAACCTCTTGGCCACAAAAATGATTTCACATGGGACACGGGGAGTGCATCACCTATTAGAATAAACTAAGCTTTGGGATATAACCCTGGTATTTGCCTTGTGACTTGTGAGTAAAAGTTCATTTTAGCAGGCAACAGGGGTGATAACATGACTTCTCCATTTTTGAGTAAGTTGACAACTGTCTAAAATGGTCATGCTTCTTTATTTATATTGAAACTATTTTTTGTTCTAGATTAGTGGCTCTCTTATTTGGTCTTTACACTCTTAAAAATTGAGAACCCCAAAGAACATGTGTTTATGAGGGTTATGCCTATCAACATTTATTATATTCGAAATTAAAACTGAAAAAAATTTTCACACAATTTTCAGAAGCACACATTTCATTAGCTGTCAGAGTGATGATGTCATCACATGTCCTTAAGTCTCTGGAAGACTCCACTGTACACTTGTGTGAGAAAACATGAGTGGAAATAAGTAACATCTTACAGTATCATGAAAATAGTTTTGACCTGGGAGCTCCTCTCTACTTGCTAGATAGGATGCTGCCTGATTCATGAATCATTAAATAAATCCAGTTAGACCTTTAAAAAGAAAAAAAAAATTAGTTTTGACTTCACAGACCCCCTGAAAGGATCTCCAGACCACATTTTGAGAAACTCTGTTCTGAATAAATTATTGTTTTTCTCAGAAATGTCTGTAAGTTCTATGACCAATGATAAACTTAGGTATTAAATTTGGTCATAATGTCAAACATTCATCTGACAGTAATTTGCTTACTGGATAGAAATCAAAGCTGGAGGAATCAAAGTTAGGAACAGCTGGTTTAGTGAATGTCAGCATCAAGACTCAATATAAATGACAGAACCAAGACTCCAGTCCCAACAGGCTGGATCACTGGGTCAAAACACACAAGCAAATGAAATTAAATACAAATAAATGTAAAATTCCACACATAAACTTAAAAAAACAATTGAGAGAATAACAA